TTGGGGATATACCTCAAATTCTCAGGGGCTTCATGCTTTGATTGAAGCTAGCTTGCTGAATTCCTAGGGTTTAGGGTTTGTACGGTAGGGCCCTTAATAAGTAGAAGGGGGTTCCAGGTTTAGGGTTTCTACTGTGGGGGCCTTAATCAGACTAAGGGATCTATAGGATGAGAATCTGCGTTGTATGCGGGTTTATTAATGCAGTCGCACTTGAGCGTATACGGTTTTGTGCAACAGCTTATTGCTGCTAGTTATTCAGACCCCACCTTGGGGTTTAAGGTGACAAGGCTTTAAATGGTTTAGATATCGGTCATACCTGGACCCGAACAGCGTGGTGCAGGGCTTGATAGCGATTCTGCAGCGCTTTAAAAGGAAGTTCTGCGGTGTATAACAGTGTCGTGGCGAGGAAATTTTTTGCTGTGGGCTTGACGCTTGGTTGGGTGCGTGGCGTCCCGAGACAACCACACCAGGTTCTTATTTCAGGGATCAAGGCCACCAGGGGTTGTCAGGGAGGACAATCAAATGCTCAAGAAAGCAGAAGAAGTGCAGGAAGATGTTTCGAATCCTCTCGCTTGCTACTGGTAGCTGCTGCTCAGCTTATCGCGCACAGCACTGCTGTCACCACCGCCGTGAGCACTGCCCCCGGGCACGACCGAGATATCCCCGAAGATCGCAGCAAAGGAATCACTAGTTGCTTGAATCTGCTGCACCGTCTTCAGATGATCTTGCATGCCACGGCTGACACCACCTGTGCAAACCCTGCTCGAGGTCACGACGGAGCAGTCTGCCAGGATCGCAGCAAAGGCACTCTGAGTTGCTTGAATCTGCTGTGCAGTCTTCAACCAATCTTGCACAGCACTGCTGTCTGCTCACGACGGAGCCATCCCCCCGGATCAAAGCAAAGGCATGCTTTGTTGCTTGAATCTGTCGCACAATGTTCAGCACATCTTGCACAGCACTGCTGTCACCACCGGCACCATCTCTCACGATCGCGACAAAGGCCTTCCGAGTTGATTGTGTCTGCTGCACATTCTTCAGCTGATCTCGCACGTCACCCCCGAACTACGCTAGACAGAAATTCTAAGGGCCAATTCAGGGCCAATACAAATAACCATATGATACTCTGACCGCCAGCATCACACGAAATGAGCTGCGACGTAAGCGGATAACTTGCGGCAACTTGCACAAAGCCCCAAGCCGCGCTGCCCTGTTTTGGGGCTTGATGCCACACTCGCTCATGAAGGAGGGGCAGTCGCGACAAAGACATCAACTATTCAGTGAGTCCCTGTATCTATGCACCCAACTGCTCTCCTGGTCTTGGCTGCCCTCCTCTGCCGCGCTGCTCGCCGCAGCGCTGCCCCAATCTCGGCCTCCGGACGTTTTGGGCGAGTTCGGAGTTCGGACAAACAAGTCAGACACATGCTGTACCAAGGGCGCACCTGAACAAACGGTAGACGCTCTAATTCGCTGCAAATCATTCGCAACACACCCTGCCAAGCTTAACCTGGGGTGCGCACGCCAGTTTCCTCGATCTTTGTGGAGTCCCACTCCCTGGTGACGAAGCAAGTTGGCTAAGGACGTAGCCAAAACGTGACTTGCGTGGGCAGCATGCTCGCTTCTTGGACTGAGGGCCGCGCAAGCTTGGGGCACTTGGCAGCCGAGTCAGCCTACTACCTGGCGCGGACGAACTCGTGATTTAGGGCAGTCGCCAACTCGCTTGGGCAATCTGCGCCTCGACCAGCACTGCTGCGCTTGAGTGTCGAGGTGCTGCTGCTTATCGACCCGCTTCCATCCTCCTCAAGTCAAGTCACTTCCAAATGCAGTCCACTAGCTCACTAGCCTGCTTAGGGCTTAGGGCTTTAAGCCCTCAACCTTTTACCCGTAAAAACCCTGCAAAACACTCCACGTCCCTCCATGCTCCTGCTCGGTGTAGCTCGTGCTGACGACTCTGTAAGAGTCCGAATTCATCGCGATGGTGCTGTCAATCGGCATTTCCTTTGGCTGCCTTGGCTTCGAACGATCTCAAAGGCCGTGGTGGAGAGTCGGAGTGCACCGACAGAACCCAGAAGCCTACTCCAGGTTTGTTGGCTAATCATCGTCACGTCGCCGCTAGAAGGTGAGCGAGTCCTCCCTATATGCAAACAGAGCGACATATTTAGCAGCTGCCGTTGATGCATCTCTTGCTGACGCTTTAGCTGCTCCAGCTGCTCCTCCTTCTCCTGTGCCAAAGTCTCTCGTCAGCTTTACGTGTCATTTTGCTGCAGTAGCTGTCTGTGTTGACTGCAGCTGCCAGGAGAGGACATCGATCCAGGCCTTCTGCTGCTCGTGAATTTGCAATACATCCTTTTCTGCGCAATGTCCTCAGTCAGAGGATGTCAGAGGTAGTCAAAACAAAGAACATCAACAAGTGGTCAGAGTGGAAGAAACATGCAAGCTGTCGTCGTAAGCGAACTCGACTTGCGGTTGGACGCTCCGAGAAATCAAGCCAAGACTCTCTGGCGGCTCCACAACTGCCTCTGCAAAGCGACGTATGTTGAAAGGGGGAATGCCTTGCACGTTTCATGTCTCTTGCTGTCTCAACCAAGCCCCGCCTTCATTACACCTAAATGCTTGTCTTTTTGCGATGATGCTTGTGCACGCTAAGGCTAAGGGCTCATGTGCCATCCAAGTGTCTGCCGCCAGCGCTCCTCCTGCTCTCGATGCTGCCACCTGAAGACGCGAACATGCTACACGTAGGCAAACAGCCCCTCGTGCTTCTCCTTTTTCGTGACATACTTCGAGCACATCAGGCAGCGAAACTTTTCTCAGGCCAGCGCAGCGAGTCTCGCTCTATCGCTGCACCCTGCGACGTGCAGTTGCAAGTGACGAGTTGCATGTCTCAATTGCCAAACCGATTGCAGGAGCGATCCATTCAAGTTCCTGTGAGACATTCTCTTCGAGGGAGACCCGCGGCATTTAACATCAGTGTCGCTCCAGCCCTGTTGTTAGATTGCACCACCAAAACTATCGCGACAACGTGGACCAAGCACTCTTGAGTCTTCGATTGCCATGCTACCCTCGCGGAGACGATGTTTGGACCCCATGTCGTGAAGCCGTAGAGTACATCCGAACCCCCCTGGCCAGTCCTGCTGAGGAAGGCTCGTCGGGGGAGCAGGTAGAGTGACCTTGCAGTTTAAACTCAATTTTCCTTTCAGGCGCTGCTTATCGTGAGTTTCAACATTGCTGTCGTGTACATGATTGCCCGTCATCTGAGCTGACACCTTCAAGTGATCAAGTAAATCCTTGCAAAGCTCAGGCAGAGCAGGAACCCTCTCCAGTGGCTGTAGCTGCACAACCCCTAGAGGACCTAGTATCATAATCACCGACAAATAACCAAAACCTTACCACGTGCTTTGATTGCTTTGCTGTTTGTGTATGGAACTTCCCCGTGCAGTTGCCTTCAAAGGAATGATTAAACTCAGCAGCGGGCCTGCAAGTCATAGAGAAACCCTCACTCTCCACGTTCCCATGCAACATCCTTAATGTAAGCATATGGACTTCCATGGGTCCCCCGACAGGCACCGGTGCAGAGACAGGCGGTCGGCCAGCCTAGTGGTAGTGAAGGGCTCCATTCTGGCTGGTGTACCGTTCGGGAGTTCAAGTTGAGCGCGTCTCTCTTCCTACTGTTGCCCTTGATCGCGCTTCTCGAACCCCTAGCTCAATCTTGAGCTCGAGGCCGCAACTTCTAGACAGAGTGAAGGCCATGCCACGGAGTAACAAACTCCAGCGAGAGAAGGCCTGGAGCGTACTCTGCAGGTCCTCGAGCAACTCCCGATTACGCCTGCAAGTGGGACGGTCGCAAGGGAGCGAGCTTGCTTTGGCAATGCTCCGTCTTCCATAAAGGCTTGTCCGATGGTTTGCGAAAGTGCTGTATGTCCTCGTCTGCTGGTGCCAAACTAGCCATAAGACTTGCAAGTAGCAGTGCTGAATGAATCGCTCATCGGGTCATGAACATGCTTGCGGCATGTCGACTCAGGGGGCTTTTGGAATGCTTCGCACCCATGTTCATGCTTAGACGACGACACGTTCGATCCCCAGCCCCACCTCTCGGCTGCAGCCAGCCGGGCTCGGACAGAAGAGAGCCTTGAGTTGCAAACCGAAGTATGAGAAAAGTCCAGCCAAATGCTACCGCTAGCTATTGCTGCTGACTTTCTTGCAAAGCTGCGCTCCTGCAGACGTGTAGCGCTTCACGCTGTCCTTTCACAGGGCATCCGCCAACTTTGGGCAGTGCTGACCAACGTGTTTGGCAGCTCGCAGCTCGCAAGGACGCCGCAGCGGCGAAACGGCCAACAGCACAAACTGACCAGAAGGATTCGCTCTTTAGCCCATGGCTGCTAAATGCCTGGCCGGTTGGAAAAATGTGAGAAAATCTTGTCAGCTTGTATGTCGACGCTTCTCTGCAGGAAAATGGCCGCTGCTACTTCTCTTGGCACTTGTCTGCGAGCTTTGCGCAGCCAGTCCAACTTGACTGAGGACAGCTGTCACTGTGCCACCAATCAACACTTCCTCGGCACAACAAACGAACTTTTTCACCGTCCACTCTGCGCCGCGAATCTTACATGTTTAGATCTGGAAGAAAGATAAGAAAGCCCGAGTCGCGTAGTATGCCAGTGGAACTCGGCCCGCATGGCTTGTCGAAAAGCTTGCCAAACAGTGTAGCAGGATGCTTTCCTAGGAGAACATCGATTTGCAAAGCATGGCCAAAACTCGCTTTTCAGCAGCAGCTCTAAGTCTCCATCCAAGCTGAAAGTTACGCCAACCATGGCCAACGTCTGCTTCCCTTGTCCCAGGTAAACCTCGGAACTCGAAAGGCCATGCCTGACGGAGACAAATTGGAAAGTAAGGTCCGTGCCAGTGTGCAGCAAGCCAAGGAGAACATGAACCTAGCTCTTTTTCGACTAGCACCGTTTCAGACATGTCGGCAGGCTGTACACCCTTTGTCCCTCCTCCTCCTCCTCCTGCTACTCTGACATGTGAACCCAAAGCCAGTCGCACACGATTGTCAGCCGAACCAGCCATGGCATCGCATCCTGAAGGTGCCTGCCAAGCGAAGTCGCGCTGACTTCGGAGTTGCGAGCGTCGTGATGTGCAAGCAACTTCATGGCTCGCACTCTGGTCGCCTGCTGGATGACGCCGCCTGGATACACGTACTGAATCCGATAAGCAGAACGCCGTGGACAGCTGCAGCCACTGCCACCTGCAGCTCAACCAAAGCAAACAAGGTGCTGAAATTGTGTTCGAAAACAGAGCCTTGCACTAATACTGCATGGTGAGGTTTGACGAGGACTCAGTCGGACTTGGTGTCAAGCGCGGCCCCAGCGAAGGTTGCCAGGCACGGTGGTAGTCATGCAATCTTAGCTTGGCCCGCATACAAGAGCTGCATTTGATTTTCCAGAGCTCGACGTGGGGATTTTAAAGCGCAGTATGGGCTTGTACGACTAGGGTGGGACTGAAAGCTTCTTCGGTCTGCAACGCCATTCCTCGGCCTTCCTCGCCTTTCTCAGCAAACACAAAGTCCGCTGCGGCGCAGCGGACGAGTTGGGTGCCCGGCCGCTTCGAAGAGAATCGGCCTTGGATCGAAGTGCCCGGGCTTGCGCCTTCAGTGCCTGGCGGCAGAAGGGTAGGATCAGGATGGAGAAGGGGCAGTGGGGTCTCATGGGGTCTCGATAAGAGGCGGTGGTGGTTTCCGAGTTCATGATTGCCTGCTCGGGGTTTGAAGGTTTGGAGGGATTGCTGATTTTAGGCTGGAGCTTTCGACAGAAGGCTTTTCACAGAACCGCCGAGAGGTTTTGCAGATAAGATCGCAGGTCTGCCAGATATGTGCCCGGCTGAATGATATACCAGCTCGATTGTGAGCAGGACTTTGGTTCTCATTCAGGTAGGGTCGGTTCGGTGTGGGTCGTGTGAAACTCGAAGATCACTCTCAGTGGACGTCCTTGCGGAACCAGATTGTCTTATTTCAAGACTTGCACGAGGCACCTCAACATCCACGCGAGCATTGTCGGGGCCATGGCCTCGAAAATTAACGGCTCTGTTTGAATCCAGCATGTCCACCAGTTAGGGGGTGTGGGGCCCTTGAGGTACTGCACATCTAGGCATGCAAACATACCCAATTCGATGGACCAAGTGCAGATGATCCAAGGGGCGAGAAATAATGTGTGGCTTCTCGCTGCTGCAGTCCTGAGGCAAAGGCAAGCACAAATCGAGCCCGGAGTGAAGAGAATGGAAGACTCTAGTGAGCTGCAGTCCTGAATGATCACCATGGCGATGGCTGCAAACAGCAAGGCCGATCTCTGTTGCTTGGAGCTGACAGCTTACAAAGGAGACTTCACGCAGTCTAAGCATCGATGTCGAATGATCTCTGACTGCTCATCAGCTAGCCTACCTAGCCAATGGCCGCAGTGGCTGAGCTGGTCGGTGTCCTCACGCTCCAGTGCTAGGGCTTGGCCAGCAATGAATGAACTCTTGCGTACTTCGATGATCTTTAGCTTTGTACAGGTGGCTGGGCTTACAATTCTCGTTGTGCGTATTGCTACGTAGCACGGCTACGCTCATGCTGATGGTTGCTACTAGGTACTAGAAGCAAGATGATGAATGAATTTCGGCTGTAGCTTCAAGCTTCTAGGTAACTTCTATGTAGTACGCTCTGAAATAATCCCATGGGTAACCCTTAAGCTCCAACCCCACAGGTGGACTGCGGCATTCAGACTTCATTAGGCCCCGGCTCTTCCGTGAAGGCAGCCTCTGCTTTCCCCAGCTCTATTCGCAGCTCCTTCGCCAGCCTCGGGCAAGAGCTCACGGCTATGTTGACGCGTCTCGTTAGGGCTCCTGGCAAGACGTGCTCTCGGTCATTTCTGGTTCTTTCTGGATCGGTGTGGCGCCTCTCAGCTCTGGCTGTGTGGCCAACCGTAACACGCTTTGCCCCAAGGGCGCTTCTTGGAATCCAGCCGTTCAAAGAGGCTGACACGTGTGCACCAAAGAGCTCAAGTTCTTGAGGACGCACTGTGAGCGGCGTCACCACTGGTGCTTGCAAAGCTAAGAAGCTGTACATCCGCGTCTCAAACTTGACACGGATCTGCCATCTGTGTCTGAGGCCCTTGTAACTCCGAGACACCAGAGGCATTTCAGACTGAATCACATGTTTGGCTGTACAGTTTATAATCCGGTGATGTGATAACTGTACGACGAAAGATCATAAACAAGCGTCCGCTACTTGTATCATCCGATAGCACCGTGCTTTCAGTTGCCAATATCGCTAGAAGCTTGCTGCTAAAAGCATGCAATCCTCCCGTTGAAACCTGTTCACAGCAGATGTAGCACTGCTGCACTGCACCGGCCAGTCACGCCTGATAAAACACATTGAGCCCATGTTGACCCTTTTGTAACCGTGATAGTGACGCTGCCCGGTAACTCTGCTTTCCGAGAGACATCATGCAGCAATACCGCAGGCCGCAGAAAAGAGTGCCAGAGTGGAGTTGGCACGCCTGCGCAAGCAAGTTGTAAAACGTCTTGCCGGGAAAGAAGTTTTTCGATGCCTGAAAATCCCAGATGAAGAAAAAGCACCCGCGAACTGCCCTATCTTCAGGTCATGAATCTCAGGAAGTCCCCTGGCTGCCTTGTCCGTTTAACGTTGGCTGTCGCAGGTGAGAACAGGCCTCAGATAGTTTCGGAAACAGGACTGGGCTTAGCGACATAAACGCAGCATCACGCCTGCGCCTGCTCCAAATCTCTCGTTGCATGTTTGGCGCACCACCCCTTTTCTAGGACACATAGCCCATGTCGAAGATGCTGTAATTTGACTTGGGCCGCAGCACGGGCAGGCGGCTTGGCCGCCGCATACCTGCTCCTCTGCTCGCGCTGCTGGGCCTGAGAAGACCAAACTTAAAGGTTTGCCTCCTGAGCAGCTCACTAAGGCAGGAAGTTCGGCAGGCTAAGAAGTACTCGCATATCCGAAGATCTCGTCGGTGGAGCGATCTTGTTCTCAGGTCCCCTTCCCGCGTGACGAACAAACAGTGAGATCCCTATGTGGTTTTGAAAAAGAGCAAAGAAAACTTGGTGAGATCTTTGTGTGGCCCTGGATTCCTAGACAAACTTTTCCATGCCGGAGCGTGTTGTAGCACGCCTGGCCATACCCAACATGGTGGAGTTTCTGGATTCCGCAAGTGAGATATTCATGGTATGTGCGGTACGGAGCCCTAACAAAGGGTTGAAAGTACCGGCAGGTCTTGCTGACCTCACGACTGTGGTGCCTTGTGCCCACAGATCGGGCCAAGTTCTTTGTGGCGGCATTGTCACAACGGCTCACAATGGCTTGTGGTCAACTCCTTCGGGGCAGCGGCCGTTCACTGCTCGCAGACGACAGTCTTCGTGGCTGAACTGTCTCAACGTTGCGCCACAGCTCGCACACAACTCCTTCGTGGTGCCCCTCTCCCGGGACGGTCGCATTTGCGTGTTTTCTTTCGTGTCCGGCTGTTGTTGTTGTTGTTGTTGTTGTTGTTGTTGTTGTTGTTGTTGTTGTTGTTGTTTGTTGTTGTTCTTCTGCATTGTCGGTGCTGTGTGGGCAAATGCGGGCAATCTTTCTTCCTTTGCGCTGGAGAGGATTTCGATGACACCCTTTTTTTAGCCGGTCTCGTGCCCTGCTCAATCTCTCACCTCACCGATGCCTGTGAGCCCAGCCCAGGTTGCCACCGGAATTCAGCAAATTTCGAGAGGAACACGTTTGGACAACTTGGAAACTCGTGGGTGTTCGGGCATCCTCCAACCGAATGCCCTCCTAGACTCATTGCAAGTCGTTCGGAGTACTCTGCTCCTTGTACCCAGTGCACGAGGAACCATCGAAGAACTTCCACAGCCTCGGACCCCAAACCCGGAAGTGTCGATGCATGGCTCTGGGTGGTTGGGCAAAGGGATTCCGAAACCCGCGAGGCCTTCGGCGCGCAGCCGAGGGGGGTCGTGGACCTCGTGGCGACACTGCGGGCGAAGCAGACCTGGGTTCGGCAAAAGCATACATCTATCTATCCGCCGAGGCCACAGGCCCAGGCGTCTTGGGGGTTACCTCAGGTTCCCTCCACCTAATCCTCCTCCCTGCAATCCGTTTGGAGACACCCGTTCTTTGCATTCGTTTGCCATTTTACCTGAGTTGTAGGCCTCCCTCCCCCTTTCTCCATCCCCCTGCCCCCCCCCCCCCCCTCCCCCCCCCCGCTCCCCCCCTCTCCAAAACAGAAGAGCAGCGAGGTCGCACGCAAAGGTTAGGGCTTGAGAGGCCCTCGCCCTGCTGCTACAGAGCCGAGGCGGGCGGCGTAGCGTTAATTACAAGTAGGTATATCTAAAATATGTTTCATGTACACAGACATACATAATTTCTCAGGCACCATTTTTACTCTTAAGATTAGTGTGGCGAATAGCTTGCTGGATGCTTCGCAGGCAGGCTTTGTACTGGGACGAGGCTACATTGGGGTGAAAACTATGCAAGGGAGACCACTGGTGAAAGCATGGCCGAGCCTTTAGGGTTGAGCTTCTAGTGCTTAAGGGCCGTCCAATCATTTAGCGGCTTAGCTCCTGCATCTGTTTTATGGTGAAGAGTCCTACCAGTCCTACCATCTGTTTCTTTGGAACGAAAGCTATTGTGGACGAGCCGAACATAGCAAGGGAAAGCACTCCTCCCTGGAGCGGGCTGCATTGAGAGCATCTGTGGGACTGTGGCAGCATGATTTGGTGTTCCTTGTTCTTCTCGAAGCTTCCGTCTAGCGTGTGCAAGCCTAAATCCTAAACATAACCCTTGAACCGTAGACTCAGTAAGGCCTGCACCTTGAGTCGAATCCTTACATTTTAAATATGAGTCACCCAACAAACCAAAGACAACGCCTTAAACTTCTCAGTATAGCGGGCAGTTTGTGATTGTTGCGAGGTTGGCCACAGCAGCCGCGCTGGCTTTGTAGGCTCATGGTTCCATCTCGGATCTCCCCATCCTAAGCGCTTCGAAGAGGCGCTGACACGGAAGGCAGTGGCGTCCCACAGGACGAAACGGGCGTTCCAGAGCGCGTCTGGCAAATCTCACCTTCTGCCAAGGATTGCATCGCTGGACAAAAGCCAATGTGGTAAGCTGCGCATAGCTACAAACAGGTCCTTGCACCTGGTAGAGGTGTGCTTGGCCGCGAAGCTACAGTGGACTTTGAGTCGCTTCGAGGCCGCGAGTGCAGAATGCCTCAAAGGTGGCTCCCACATACCGAACTCGAAGAAGCACATAGCTCTGCAGGCTGGTGGCATGGTAGCGCGCTGCCAGGGGCAGCTGCAAGAAGTTTCTCGCGCCCTGCCAGGGAACTCGGTCGTCATGAGCAAGGCAAGCAAACACCTGTCATGGTTTGCGTCGTAAGCCATGGCCTTCCAACGGGTCGCTGATTCCATGGCTCCTAAGTCTGCGTCTCTTCAATTTTGGCATTCTTATCGACATGATGAGATGGTGTTGCAAACTGTGCATACAGATAAACACAATTGTTAGAAAAAACAAAAACATCCGCTGCATCTACATTTGCCACATTTGCTCTGGATGCCAAATGCACAATCCGACCCTTGCCGTCTTGTTGAAAGATGTAAGAAGCTGCAGACACAGCCTTTTGTAGGAGCCTTCATGGTTACAGTAGAATGGCGTCTTGCGGGGATATTATACTTTGACTACCTAGGAACCATGGCCGAAGTCTCTGGAATTCGGCGCGAACTCCAAGGAGATCATGGCTCCTGGATCCAAATTGGCTGTGGCTAGGCTTGTGCTTTGTGCTTGCGGGGCCGTCCGGGATGTCAGGCGACCGCCCAGGAAGCAGAACGACTCACTGAGAGGCCACTCTCGGTGGACACGGTTTTAAAGGGATTTGATGCGCATGAATGATCATGGTGCAGGGTAGTTCACACCACCTCCCATTGCATCACGAACAATCTCTCTGAGCGGTTGCATCGGTTGAATGTTATACTCGTGTTGTTGGGGGCTTAGTTTCGGAGAAGCGTGTTTCAGGCTTCCGGGTGGAAGGGCTTGCCCAACTTTTCTTAGGTTGGCGGCCCCTTAGAGACTCTGAAACGATCTGAAACGTATTCATAAACAAGATCCTCCTAAGCCCGAGAAGCTCCAATAATCCAAATAAGTGTCTCAAAGGCTTGTCTAGCTTCGATCAAGGCATCGACAGCCCTGCTCTTTTCTAGGTCAAACGCTGCGTTTCTGGATGGTCCTGGGCCAACGGTCGAGTGCTTGCTCGAGAAGATCACGAGCCGCTTTTCTGGAGCCCTGAATGCACTGCTTGCAGCATTCGTGTTGCTGAGCTTGAACCTAGTCAACTTGTAGGACAGCAATGATCTGAAGGCCGCCTAAGGGCCCGCGAGTTCGATCCAAAAATCCCACGCCGAACTACGGCCCTTGCAGTGGTGTGACCGGCTAGATGCTTCAGCCCTGTGCACCTCGTTCCACAAGCGTCTTGCAGTGAGCGCAGCTCCCATAGGACCCGAGGATTTTACCTCGTGCGCTGGAGAAGGCACCTGGAACAGTGGTACTTGCTGTGGAGGGCCACCGCAATGCAGCAAATCTCCATGATGCACTCGCCCACCTCCGGAGGCTTCGCCGCTTGGCATCCTTTCTCTGCGAGCCACCGCTCGTCGTAATCCTGCAGAGGGTACTTAGGAGTCCGGCTCCGCAGCTGATGTAGATCAACAAAGATACAGCTGTGACAAGGTGTCTGCTTCATGTTATGATCGCGGTCCTGCCGAGAGCTCGAGTGCCGCAGCATGGCCCACGCCTCGTGCAAAGCCTGTCAGGTCCGGGAACAGTTGGGAGTTCCATCTTGTCTGATCCGAAAAGCGCGCTCGCTTGGCCACGGCCGCGACTACAAAGCTGTCGCCACGTGTGCTTGTCTGAACGACCCCAGCCTGCAAAAGCTTGTGCTGGGCCATCTCCAACTCGCCTGTGTCTCGCTTCTTCAGCAGAAAGCAGTCTCGACCATCAAAACAGTCTTCTCGTTGGGTCGACACCCTTTCAGGGTTTATCATACTTGCTTCCATCCTTCCCTGCCGTCCTTTCTCAAAAACAACTTTCTTGACATCCAGCTGATGTTGCTTGTGAGCTATCTTTGTTAGTAAAGCTCAGCCCTCGACCCGCATGGACTTCCCGCAGCTTGCGGTGATAGGCAGCCTCGGGTAGTTGTGCGCGCCTTCAACGAGGGCACGTCAAAGTGGCACTGGCCAAGCCTCCAGTGTGCTCAGTGGCATCCCCGGCGCGCAGCCAAGAACTGCCTTAGCTTCAATCATGGGGATGTCTAGATACAAGGTGCTCCCTAGCACATCTTCCAGTCTACGTGCTCGTGGAGATGCCCACGTTAAACACTTATTTGCCTGTCTGTGACGCTTGAGATCACTTGAGTTGAAGACTAGATAATTTTGCAGTCTAGGGCTAGGGGTCTGGCATAGTGATCCGCGAAGGCAGCCTTCTCCATGCGACCCGCTGGACTCCTGGTACCCGCTCAGTGAGCCTCCACAGCTGCGAAAGCCTTGCGTCCAAATCCTTCGCCCGTAAGAGCAGAAAGCCACAGCACAAATGCTGCTGGAAACGTCGCAAGATGCCGCAAGCGGTATGGACTGGCTGGGACCAACACGCCGAAGAAGCTTGATCTGCAGGACCTCTGGCAGCAGCATGCATGGCAGAGGCTTCGGCTGAACTGACGACGGAACTCCCCCCACCCATGTCGCGCTTCTCTTTGATGTGATTCGAACTCCGGCTTACAGTCTGCCCTCAGGAGGCGGCGAGGAACCCTGGCAGCTTCGGAACGCCATCGCCTCGTAGGCAGAGCCAGCACTGAGAGATTTGGGTGCAGCGAGCGCGCAAGAGCTCGGCGGCATTTTTCTGAACTCAGCCCCGCGCGCCACTTCGTCCGCCTCGGCACCTGAGCGGCGAAAGCCCCAAATACCTTCAAAGATGTCCTTCTCTCTTCACATGAAAGACCCTGGCAATGACAAGTGCCCTGGCTTCGGCTTTCTTTCGGACACCAAGTTCTCGCGGTAAGGGTGCAAACTTCTGCCTAGAAACAAAGCCGGAAATCCGGATTTCGAGTCGGAGGTTTCGGGCTGTTGGGCTGTACATTATCTTTCAGTTCGAGGGCAAGGCTTCGCTAGCGAGCTTAAGCATGAGTAGGGGGAGGGCAGGAGAGAGGGAGAGTGAGAGGGAGCTGGAGGCACTTGGATCGACAACATTGCCGTCACAAGCCAGGCATGGCCTGCCACTCGCAAGTGTCTTGTGGACAGCGAGTGCGGCCTACAACCGGGGGCCTAACGCAGTTGGCTGTGCAGCCGCTCGCACCTCGGAGCTTTACGTTTGGGAAGAGCTACGCCGCTACGCTGCGTGCAGGCATGTCCAGGCCGCCTGTTCTCATCACATTACAAGTCTTCACATTACCACCTCTGGGTCTCCGGCTCCGCGGCACGGGCCTTCTCGCCTTCCTGTACATGCGCAGCAGAACCGCCAAGACAGCTTCAATCTAAGGCCAGTACGGAAGTACCCGCTCCTACTAGTAGAAGACTCATCAGCTGGCACTACGTTAAGAGCCCTCGTATCTTCGATGCATCTTTCTTTTCTACCAGAGAAGCTCAAAGCGATCCAGCTGGTATTGTTTGCGGTGTTAGCCAACCTGTTGTTCACGATCCCTCGAGCTTTCTCTTCTTTGCGGCTCTGGAATTTCAGGTGGGCCCAGCAAAGTCACCGCAGCGTATGCCAGGCCAACTCCAAGCCCACAGAGGAGGGCATCAAACGCAAGCATTGAAGGGTCCAACACTGCACCACGAATCCCGGCCAAGTTTTTCAAGTATGAGAAGACTGCATCTGGTAAGGCTTTGCCTACAAGCAATGCAGCAAGAAAAAGGAGGAGGTATCTGTAAGGTGCGTTGGTGTCCATCTCCTCCACTAGTCGTGCACGCTCTTCCTCACTAAGCTCCCAGTATCGCTCTTCGTCGGGCATTGCTGGTGCTTTGCACCTTCGAGTCCTGGCATTGAGATTCCAACGTGTACCCACAGCAAAGAGAATGGCCACGGACACAGCGACGGATGATGCTGTCGAAGCCGAAGCGGAAATGCCCGTTTTGTTCTTTGTTCCGAGCTTCATCCTGGAGCTTGGGAATGGACTGACGCCGCCGGTCAGGCGAGCTGTCTTCGGCTCAGCATGGGCTGGGTGCCACGTGCCTGCTGCACCTACCGGTAGCATCTTCCAGACTGCCTACCTGCACAATGAGATCGTGCTTGTGCCGAGATGAAGAGCATCATGTCCAGCGCTCTAGACGGACTCACGTCCTAAGCCGCCCTGATTGCACAAAACTCTAATGTTCGATGAAGGCCAGGGCCATACAGATACTTTAGCTTCCAGCGCAGGATGGGTGTCGGTTTCCTTTCGTGCAGGCCTGTCAGTCTCCCATGGATCTCGCCAAGTGGTACATGGAGTCTTGAGCGTCACTAGCTCACCCCAACAGAGTCAGAAGTTCAACCGACCCTTATGCCCAGGTCTGGTATACCAGGGTTGCTCTAGAAATCCAAAGGCTACTCCAAAAGATTCTACTACATAGTGTAGAGGTTACTATCCCCGGGTTACTACTGTTGATGGACAAAATCCTGCATGACCCTAAGGACTCTAAACTATGGGAACTATGGTATATTCCTTATAATGGGTAATGCAGGATTTTGTCCATTCCTTCTCCCCCCCCCCCCCCCCCCTCGGTCCAGGCCTGGCCTTGCGCGAAGCCTCGACACCTCTGGCAAGCTCATGCCTGGCTTGTCAGGATAGGGTATAATTCTTGCAGAATGCAAGGTAGCATAGTAAAATCTAGCTTAATCTCATCTGTGCACCTACTCTAATATCAGACAACATACAACGGGATGCTCAAGTTACATAACCAAACAAACCAACGTAATGGAGGGTAGGGCCGCTCTGACTTTCTACAAAGATTCCTTGTTGGCTCCCTCAGATTAGAGATGCTAAATGCATTCCTTTTGCATCTTGCAAAAGAGAGGACGATTTTGGTGCTCTGAGCTCGAAGTCTCAGGTGAGGCGCATCTGCACTCCCAAGATTGCAGAAGTCGCGTCCGAAGCTTAGGCCAAAGCTTCCGAAACCAACCCCAAGCCCATCCACTCGAGCCTCAGTGCAATAAGCTCTCCTTTGGCACGTTCCTGGCCAAGCAAAGAACTTTGTTGTCGCTTCGGGACTTCATATAACTGAGCACCTGACCTTGGGAAGTTCATGATACAGGCTGCTACATGCTGTCTCAGGCTCGCCCTCATTTGCAGGCTGGAGCTTCTGCCGGGGGCTCCTGAATCGAAGCTTCCCTCTCCAGCTTCTTTGCGAACTCGTCCCGCTGCGCCTCCCAGCAACCGCGAATCCAAGCGCAGATGCGCCTGTGTGTTCGTGTGTGCATTGTGTGAGGCCACGCGGCCCCCAAACTCTAACCTTTCGGACGTTGGTGAGTTTGCAGATCAGTCTGGGCCCTTCCAAAGCCCAAGAAGAACTCGGAGAGCTTCCCAAGTGGGGGGCCTGGCAAGCTGCATCCCGCTCCAGGATCTCTGCAGACATCGTCTCCCTGGGCTTTCGGGCAGGATGAGACGATGCGATCTTTAACGAGGGTTTTGGAGCTTCCGCAAGGCATCAACGCTCTCCGGGATACGACGACGGGCACTGCAAACAGTTGACTACTCAGCCTGCAATTGCTTGCTTCAGGGCCGCTGTGCACTGCTCGAAGCTTCGATCAACTCGTTTTGCTTCTCAGGATCGCTCTCCGAATCCTTGACATGAGACTGCATCCTGATCCGCTGGGAACGAAACCTCACGCGGGCATGCCCAAAAGAGATGCTATGCTAAGGTGCTAGATGATTAATTTCTGGACCCGTGACTGTTGTCAGGAGCTTCTGTCCAAAGTCCAGCCAAGCTGGTGCAAAACTAAGCTAACGCACACCTGCGAACTTCCGTGTGGCACCCGTTCCTCCTGTACTCAGCATTCTTCACTTATGGAAGAACTGCCTTGGAAGATTCACAAGAAGGAGTTCGCATGGCACCGGTGCAGCACTCGCTTTTGGCGTCTTCACGGCACAGTTGACACTGCTCTCCGCCGCAGCCACGACACTTGCTGTCGAAACAGCTGGTCACTGCCTCCTCTTTAGAGTCGATGCACATCTTTGGAGGGTTGACGGAATGGTAGTGGTCATCGCAGCAGCCCGCAATCGTGTTTGCATCCTGACGGCACAGCTGACACTGCTCACCACCGCAGCCGTGGCATTTGGTCTCCACGCAACTCTTCACATCCTGTTCCCAGGCGCATTGCAACCCATCGGCACCGTAGATCCCATCGCAGGGATCCTTGGATTCGGCCTTGCACATGTCGATCCCTTCGGTTCCGGAGCAACAAGAATTGAGAGTATTGGCATCTTCTCGGCAAAGCTGGCACTGCTCGCCTCCACATCCCCTGCAGATGTTTTCCATGCAAGATGACACACAAGCAGAGACGGTGTTTTTGTCTTCGCGACAAAGCTGACACTGCTCACCACTGCAGCCTCGACATTTGCCTTCAACGCAATCTTGCACCGTCTCTGCTGAAGCCAATACCACCACCAAGCTGAGGACGAGAGCACGAGCCATGACCGGAAATGTGATCGAAGAGCGGCAGACGGGCGCCAAGAAATCTCCTGCGGAAGCCTTCTTGAGCCATGGCGTGAATGCAGGCATGGCCAGCTGAACCCAAGATGCCGCCATTGCATGTCGACAGTTTCGACAGCGCACTGAGGACTGAGGAAGAGGCAGCTCAGATCGCAAACGCGCAACTTTGGCAGCCTGACATCCAAGCATCAATTGGCCTACAGCAAACCTGCGCACAACTGAGCAACTGCCTCTGTGCGAACTTCCTCGTCGCTGGCTCTCTTTTCCTGTGAGACATCAAATATCTTGCTCTGCCATGCAGCTCGTCTCCCTTCGTCTCTTACTGACTTTGCAAAGCTTTCCGGCAATCCGCACAACATCTTCTGGACTAGCAAGCACTCCCTCTCAACAAATGCCACCGGGTTGATCGAATCATCTCCAGTCACATGCTAGGTCGAAACCGTGACAGACAGGACAAACAATCATTTCTTGCATGAGCATGCATGAAGGACCTCTATCCGAAAACTTGCTCCAGGTTCGAAGTTTCTGTGCTAGCTAAAACGACGCACGCGAGTCGACGACACGACGAATAATAAACTGCTTCAAAGCTGGTCTTTTCTCGTGCGCGCGGACACGCCTCTCGCAAGGAAGCCAGGTCCCGGCTCAGCCGCATTGCCAGTGCCTGTGCCGCGGCTCAGGAGCTGAAAACCCCAAACGTCGTAGTAGTGGCAAAACCTCCTTGTCGGATATCATGGGGAACTAAAGGTTATCCTTTTTGGTTATATAGGGGTTATATATGGACTATGCTACCCAAAAAATAAAAAGGTTAAAGGTTCCCTACTCTAATACTAGGAAAAGAAAGCATACTCTAAGACGGACGTCCTCAGAATCTCACGACAGCGGTCGTGATGTGATGCTGTTTCTGAAGACAATGAGAGCTTCTACTGCTGCTAGTCCGGTCCTGCCTCCGACTTGCTCTGCTTCTCCTCTGCCAGTCCCAAAGACACCGTGAGGCGACCTGCCTCAGCAGAAGCAACTCTGACCCGATATGTGTCCGTGTTGAGGTAGAATGACGCAATCGATATCCGCAGCCTCCTGGCAAAGCTCGGCTACCTGCGGGCTTCGGGAGCTCAGGAAATGAGTTTTGCAGATGTCTGGCTCAGGGCAGGGGCTGAGTCGAATAGTCGGCATGCCTGCCTTTTAAATTGGCATAATATCTTCGAGAGGAAGGCAAATCTTCGTGGACTTAGTACTGTAGTCAGCTTGAGTTCTTGAACTCAACTTCGGGTCTGACTCTGGGCAGTGAGAACCTCACTCTTCAACGGCAACTGGAAGGATCCATGCGTGAACTACGGCCGCTCGCACACAAACTTGCAATGTTGAGCTTTCGCACTCTGCTGTGGATTCTTTTCGTAGCATCCACCACCTATGTCAGAAGTCTGCGACAGACGTGCATCGAGCACAATCCTGAGGGATCAGGTGCCAAAGAGGGGCTTGGAAGCTTCATGCTGCGCTGCACTTTATCCTTCAATGTCTCGACTTCCCATTCTTTCAATCCTGTGCTAAGACATGACCACGGTCGATGTCAAGCTTACACCCGCGACTGGCACAGCATCTCAATGAAAAATGTGATGAAGCCACTGGTGTCCGTTGTTAAAATCTCTGCGGCCAAACGCCGAGGGGTCTACAAACCGGACCTCGGCCCAGTTCAAGACAAACAGCAGGTGGACAGTCGTGCAACAGCGCCCAATCTGGAGTACACGAGTTCCCCGCCTGCAGCGAATTCGATCAGTGCTCACCGAGTGCACTATGGACTCTGAGCACGGCAGGTTTAACCTGCAGAGCTCCGCCTAACCGTTTGACAGAGTCTAGCATCTCGATAGTCACAGGAACATTTCAAATCTCGGGGTGATCTGAGTGTGCCAAGGCCGCAGCCCCCGAATCTTCACTAGACACTGCTGACCGGACTTGGATCGAAGCAGAAACGTGAACATGCACGTGATACTGTTTGTGACAGTCACCGTGCACGGTACCGCACTGCAGCGCACTGATGCGCACTGCGTAAAACAGTGCGTTCAGGGCTCAGAGTGTTCAGCCCCTGATTCAGACATCATCGTCTCGAACCTTACAGCTCGCAATTATCCACGAGGATGCCCCTCACCCCCTATGTTGCGTAAGATGGTCAGTCCTTACACACAACATCTACTGTCGGCGTCGCGTGGTTGCGCGCCAAAGGTCCAAAAGCTGAGGCCGCTGCTCCTTGAACTCGATCCTGGGCATGAACGCAAACATGTAGGGCTACCAATTCGAACGGACCACAAATATACTGGAGCAGAACTGGTTCCAAATCAATCACAACCATCCCGTGTCTGCCGCGCTCTCAAACCAAGTGTCTGCCCGTTCCCGTTCTCGTCACACCATGTCATGATCCTCAGCCAAAGCAGCTTCTTCCCTATGGTGGCGGATGCATCTGTGAACCGAAGCTACCGTGCTTCTGACCATTTCTGTCATCCTGTTGCTATAACCCCTTAGAACATCTTAGAACCATAATAATGAAAATACTACCTTTAATTCTGAATATTCTATTGTAGGCTTAATCCTGTGCCATGGTGCTCATGCAGCTCTTCCATCGACAACGCTCCCAAAAGATGGCCACTGGAAAGCTCCGACCTGGGCTTCGAAACAAGCTGAACAAGACGCAGCACTCTGTGGCTGTTAGGGTTTACGGGGGAGATATGTTTTTTGGGGGCTGTATGGACTTGAAGATATCTTGTCTTGGAAAGTCAGTTCCGTGCAAGTTGGGCTGAGGGTCGGAGGCTTGAGCTGTCAGACTAATCCTATCTCAGGCAGCTGCAAAGAGATGTGGCCATCTCGATCGCGATCGAAATAATTGAATGCAGCCTTCATGACCTTGCTGTTCATGTAGCAGCTCGGGTCCTTGAGCGGATTTCGCATCAGAACACAGCAGAATGAAGGCAAACACCTGACTGAATGCATCTGGGTTGCGGTACAATTTTTATGTAAAAGTCTGGCTGCAGTTGAGGTTCAACGGTTGCTGCCAAGAACTCTGTGTATCCAAATGGACGGCTGGGACCCAGCAGTTCAAAACGATCTGCAACAGCGTCTTTGACCTGGCGAGCAGTCAAAGTTGTGTTCTTTGGAGTTGAACATCCTTTGCCCTTCTACCTGTGCAGTCAACTTGGCTGCGAGGCTCGTGCCACAAAGCTTTTGCAGCAGGAAGGCTCTTGTCAGGCTTTTGAAGCTCCACTCGCAGCGAAAACGGGGCCAGCCTGAAGCGATGACACCGGGTTGTCTCCCATGCCCATGGCGGCGCCGCCTGCACGTTTCCTTGGCACATCCGAATCTTACCAACTCGAGCAGAGTCTCAAACCAGCAACTCCCCCTCTGAAGGCGAGTCTCAGATCTTGTGCGGAGATCTTCCCGTCCCTGTCTGCATCCAGGCTGATGAAGAGCTCACCTTCGATGGTGGAACACCGTTCACCGGAGCACCCGACGAGTAACCGCTGTGCGCACATCGCCAGCTAAACGAGAGCGAATGAGAGTTATTTCCAAGCTGCGGCTGGTCGCAATCTGGTGGTCCGACCTGCAGCACGACAAATCGCTGTGCATAGCCAAAGCAGTTCTCCGAAGGTGATGCAGCCAAGCTTCAGCATGCTCACAGCAGTGCATATCACAGCGCGTTTGAACCTGAAAGTTGTGGCACTGTCTCAAAACTCGGACAGCATGCTTTTTGTCGCCATCATGCTGATTGCAGCAGTTTGAAATGCAAAGTCGGCAAGGCCAAGTGGCTTGTTGTAGGAGCGGAAGCGCTGCAACTCCTCAGGCATCCATCATAAGTGACTGAGCCGCGTGCCATAGTGTAAAGCTGGAAGTTTCATGTGATCAAGGCATCTCGTTCACCCCGGTCTGGATGAATGCGTACTTATGCAATCTTGGAACCAATGCGTCCCTACAATGCCATATACAACACGAAAAGAATGAAAGCTCCAGCACACGATTCGTGGACACCTCATGTCCGAAAGTGGAGAACCCGAAACCCTAATCCCCTAAACCCTAACCACGGAATCGTTATCTCTACCGATTCCGGAGCTCCTGGAGGAGGCTCGCGTGGCTGTTTTGAACAGCCTTGCCTTCAGCAAGCCAGTCGTCTCGCAAGGCCTTCCTTGGTTTAGGACTCGAGTGACTTCAGTGGGACTCTTACAACCCGAGCCTACCCTAATCCCCTCAACTCTGAACTCCGCTCCATTAGCCCGACACCCCACAAAGCCTAACACTCCTTTCCCTAGCTCTTCCTCAAAGAGGGCCGAGTTGCTTTGCAGAGTATCGACTGGAAGGCCGCTTGCAAAGCAACATGCCTTAGGTTGGGGAAGCGGAAGCCAAAAGATGCACCATACTTATGCTGGAGATATGGTAAGCTGAAACGAGAACCTCGAGGTATATGGCATACTTGTACTTTGATTGTCGCACTGTGATTAAATACAAGCTTCGCATAATCTACCCACGGCCGATCCCTGTTCTTAAGGCCTTTCTTCGAGAACACCTTTTTTCCAGGTGTTGGTCAGCCGATCATTTACGATGCCAAGGGGGAAGTACTTCAACTCCAAATCGGAACGAGCGAAAGCTTGCACAACCGAGCTTTCGACTTCTCTGCCACTAGATCTGCCCATCGACGCAGCCCGCTCTCCCCTTAAGAGGTTGTGGCTCTGTTCTGCGCCAAGGCGCTGAGGAAAGCCACCGGCTGCCTGAGGCGGCTTTTCCAGAGGAAGGCTTTCAGTAGTTGGACATGCTGCATCTAACCTTTGCACCAATCGCGTGTCGTATCCCTACTCACGTCCCGGATGACAGCATGCAACATCCCTCCATGCTGCTTGGTGTCGAAGGGAGGCTATCCCACACAGGGTTCGTCATCTTGTACCTCACAGCTGGATGCTCACAGCGAAAGTCTTGATGCTGTCTTACTGCTACGACTGGCTAAAGCAGAAGCAGTGCCTTGACCTTCCTACAAGCCCGGGCCAAGCTACTCGAGTCTCACTTCTCTCTCAATGCTACAGAGAGCGGACCACCTGACCAAGCCCCGCCTGCCCTTCTTGACCTCCTCCTCGTTCTTGAACGGCAGCTCCCCTGAGGTCAAGTAATACCTTGGGATGCTTGCGAGTCGTGAAGCTTGTGGAGTGCTGCGGTATGCTGTGAAAAAACGCTGACAGCTAGGTCCGTATCGGCTTTCGGAGCCTTGGGGCCTTCAGATTCGAGGATGCAAGGACAAGCAAGGACCAATCGCCCTGCCCTCCCCACATTGCACATCAAGAAGACTTTTGTGGAAGTCCGAACCATGGCGATCGTTTACCTTCACCGAGAGGCATCAGAACGCCACAGCTCCAAAGGTCGCACTTGTGGTTGTAGTACCTCCGTGTTGGGGCGGGGGTGTTTATGAAGCTGAAGTTTGACTCCTGGCATGGATTTGCGACGCAAGGAACATGGACCTACGATCCATGCCTGACCTTACTGGCTGATCTGACTGCTGAATGCTTCATGCTGAGAAATGACGAAAACTCTGCTTTGCCGCTTGCCAACGCTACCTGACCCGAAAGCCAAGACCCCATTTCGCTCCCTTGACCTCATGCTCGCATCTTCGTTGTCCGGGCCTCTCGAACACCTCCGGCGCCATGTGGCTGGGTGTTCCTGCAGATGCACATAACGATAACATGCAGGCCAGGCTTCCCCCCCTCACACGCGCGCACGCGCACACACACACACACACACACACACAGACACAGACACAGACACACACACAGACACAGACACACAGACACACACACACACAGACAAACACACACACATCACACACACACAAAGAGAATCACAGACACACAGACAGACAGACAGACAGAGACAGACACAGACAGACACAGACAGACACAGACAGAGACAGACGGAGACAGACAGAGACAGACAGAGACAGACAGAGACAGACAGAGACACAAAGACACAGGGACACAGACACACACACAGACACAGACACACGATGTACAAAGCAAACACACGTCTGTTTCTGGCAGAATCTGTTTGGTGTGCAAGTCGTGATGCAGCGAAAGTTCCTCTGTTACAGGGCGGGAGTTTGACGGTCGGATCTGACTTTGCAAGCGGAAGGGAGCAACGATCTTCGCATCCTGGGAACTTATCCTGGTTTCATAGTAGCATGCACACAAAGATACACAAAGCTCCTTGGACAGGACATTGATGGAAGGTCGGCTCATTCATCAAACTCTATGAGGCCAGAACCCCAACACCCGAAGCCCTGGCAGCACGGGCCTCCCATGCTCGAAAGGTACTCGCCCTCCTGCACCCACAGACAGGGGCTGATAAGGGACATGGACACTCTCTTTGCTGATCGGCTTTATCAGGTGTCGTTGCATCTCAAACTCTACAACTACGACAGCTTCCGCGTCCACACCAAACAGTGGAAGCACCCACCAAAGCCCGGGGGCACGTCCTCCACGATTCGCGACAGGCCGAAGTCAGAGACTTTGAGGGACGTCCTGCTGCCAAGCCGTGTGCAGGGTCGCGCGCGCTTCACCCAATATGCTTTACTCCAACATCTTCAGGCCTCGTTTTGGGCCTAGATTCTTGGGGTTGCCTCTCCGTGGCATGGGCAAGGTTCTGGGACTTGTTCCGACGAAAGCTGACCTAAGGGCGGATTAAGTCTTGTCACCTGTGGGCGACATGCGCTACGAGTGATAACACAAATCAGACCAGTTCAATCCACGGAACTATACATACATGTCTATAGACGCAGGCGTATCAACAACTACACAAGCCAAGACAAGGTAGGTGGGGACGCAAAACGGCGCACTGCAAGCGTTTACCTTCGCTTGAAGATCCTAATATGGGCTTGGATAGGCTGGTAGGTTAGCCCTTCGGCAAAGACAACGCAAACAAGTCTGGAAGTCCTGCGCAAGACCTCAGTTGGTTGCACCTTTAAGAGGATGTTGTCCTTAGATCCGCAATGTGGCAAAAGGTCATCGACACTTCTTTGTACGGCCTTCGATACCTTTGAGGGGAGACCCTCTCTCGCACGAGCGCAGCGGTATGTCCGGCTGTCTGACCCGGGTGCTCGTCGACTTCGGTGGGCATTGGCTTCAAAGCGTCAGGCTTACTTACGGAGTACGATTCTCACTACGACGACTCCTGCCGTGGAAGCAAAGCAAGCAGGTCCAGGGTCTACGACCAAATGGGTCGTGCAGCCCCTGAACAGCTCAAGCCGAAGTGCGGCTTTCAGGTCTCGGTGGACAATGCTCAGCCTTATTTGACTGAGGTAGCAGCACCAGCATGACTTCAGCAATGAACCGTTTCCTATCTGTTAGAACTGCTCATCAGTCATGCTTGTAGAATATGTGTGTGTCCGCGAAATGCTGCAAAGGCGCTCGTGTAAGTAGTTCACAGCCGCAAGTATCTGACCTTAAAACATCAGGAGCTCATTCAGTGCGCTGAACGAAGGTCACCTGCAGGAAACATAACCCTCTCTGCATCGAAGCTTCGCATGGCCAGGGGCAGCTCCCTTTGTGGCAGCTGTCCCTTCGGCGCCTCGGCAAAACAGTCCTCTTCCTACGCAACCTTAGACGTCACACCTTTCCTACTCTAGTTCTCGTGCACATAGGCCGAAGAAGAACCCTTCCCAAAACACCTTTACTTGCCGGAGCACGGTTTTGACACGGTCTGTGAGACACCCCCCACTGCAGAGCTCCATGGAGAGGTGAACATCGTCATCCTCAAAGATCCTCAGATCTTTCAACCATGTAGCTTCGTTCATTCTGATACATGCGAGTACGCAGCGTTCTGCAGCATTGTCGTCGAGTTGCTCGAACAGCATGACGACACCTGCACTCTTCGGCAGCGAGATGGAACCGTAACAGAATGCTGAATTCCGTCCTTCCGGTGCCTACCACTTGACTCGATAGAGTCCGGCCTGGATGGTCAAGCATCTTCATGATCTCAATTTCCATTTTGAGCGAGCCAGTTTGCTCCTTCCTGACAAGTGCCACACAGTGTTAATGAAGCTATCTTGCACGGCAGTGGCACAAGACTCTTTAAGCCAAGATGCATCATTTCTTTGCTTATAGTCTTGATCGCCCTCTTTGCACCTGCAGGTAGCTCCAATCAAACACAGTCGTTCGTCGCGGACGTCGAGTACATCTTACACCTTACTTCGCATGCTGAAGACTGTTGGCTGAAGCTGACCTTGGGTCTATCTCAAAGGCATGATCTTTCAAACTTCCGGCAACTTCTGTTGAACTATGCTTCTCTGTCTAGACATCGGTACACCCCTGATATGCCATGCCTGTGATTCGCACCCGACCGAGTCTGACAATGCCGAAGGCTCCCTTGCCGAGGTCCTTGTCCTCAAGTGGAGGCAGTCTGAAACTTTGAACCTTTCCTTTAGAGTGCTTGTTCTGGTGGGATCTTTCGTAAGAAAGAACCCCAAAGCAACCTCTGAGCTAGCGCCACCTCTGCGTGTTGACAAAGACTGGTTGAGCCAGTTGCAACAAGATGCCATCTTGTAGATGTCTTCCAAAGGACCTTGCAGTTGCGAGAATGTTTGCGCTAAGACTGACTGACGAGCGCACCTGGGAAAGTCCGACTACGCGCCACCTTGTTGTACAATGATACGGCAGGGATGTCAAGTCAATGTGCGAGGAATAAACATCAAAGCTGTTTGGGTCTTCCTGCTTGCGGGCCCTGGACAAAACAAATTTTGCTCGGTCTGTGCTGTGGCTCTGCATTACATCATTTCCCAATCGGACGCATCAAAGCATGGACTGCTATCGCTATCGTCGCATCTGGACATGCATCCAAGCGGCTCGAATTGTTGATGACAAGCCTTAGCGGCGTTGTGACGTGTCTCGCTCCTCGATGCAGGTTATATTATGAACAAACCAGGAAGCAGCTGCCCAAACTGTGCTACAGGTACTCTGCTTTGACCGGATCTAAGGCAGGCAGCTGCAGCGCCGCCGAAGGAATATGACCTGAGGATTGGCTTCGTCGGCGGCATCGTTATCCTAATTGGGCCCTAAGTGTTGTTTTGCGGAAACTGGAGATCCGATATGTAATGGGTGAGCTCAATATTTTCTGCCATCCAGCCAGGGCGGATGTCTTGCTCAAGTTCCGAGGAGCCCATTGTCTCGACCAACTTCAGCCGACGATGGGAATGTCTGGCCGATGACCGTGTGCTTGCATCCTTGACGGGCTTAAGGGTTGAAATGGCATCAGGGGCTATGCTTCGAGTTGTTTGAACGTGTTTGATCTTGATGCAAGTGAGCTGCGGATGCAGCAGAACTCGTTGAATGCAAAGTGTGTACCGGCGAGAGGGAATCGTTGTACTCGCCATCGCTTCCATCCGACTCCGATAAGTACGCCTCTCCTGGCTTAGGGGGGCGATCAGGACATTCCATACCAAAGTCATCTCGGGTATCTGTCGGTATTTTGCAGTCGCGCGCCTCTTGTGTCCTCGGAACCCGGCCTGCACAGGTTCACTAGGTTGGCACTTCTGAATGCACGTCACCTCACAAGCCGGACTCTGTTTTGAATTTCTGCATACTTGCTATACCTTCCTCGTGGTTTCTGAAATCTGATCCATGGCAGGCCGTCATGGCCACGCATGCGGTCTGTGAAGGCATAATCCGTCCCTGGCCTCCTCGATCTGCCTCTGTACTCTGAGCTGCATAGCGCTGCCCTTGACCTTTGCCAAACGTGCGAGTCATACGACAACTGAGCTGTGGGGGCAGCGCTCAGTGCATCCTGAATCGAAGTTGCCAAGGCAGGCGGAACTTCTGCGGTCGCTGCAATGATGGCGATGTCTGCTTTTGACGTTTGAGGCGTGCTGCGACGAACCAATGTTCATCGCAGCATGGCATCCGCATCATCTGGGCCGCTGCTAGTAGTATCTGCTTCCACCAGAGATACTATCTCCTCACGCCGCATAACCTAGCATACTACACATGCTGCGCATCAAGCTCTGAAAAACTAAGTGCCGCACACGCAGCTTCGCGAGGTGCCGGCCTCTGTCAGGCAAAGGTGCTGCGCGCTTCTTTGAGGCTCATATATAATGTAGAATATATAATATAAACCTAGAAAATACATAATATGTACCAAATTTTTATGTACAATATATGGTCTTTGACATGAAGACGACTTCCGAGATCGAGCACAGTTGAACCCTTGCGCACGGCCTCGGAGCCAAGAGTCTCGTTGACGGTGTAAAAAGTCTGGCGGCGCTGGGCTTGCTTTGTTGCTGGTCGGGGATTTGGTGGGTTGGCAGTACTGCTCCTCCTCTTCCTCCTGCTCCCGGCCACCACCACCACCACCACCACCACCACCACCGCTGCTACCACCACCACCACGACGACGACTACTGCCACTGCCGCTGCTGCTACTACTGCTACTTCCACTACCGCTGCCAGCAGCAGCACCATCAGAACCTCTGTGACAAGCTCTCCTGCTCGCACTACAGCAACATTCTGCAGATGCAACAATGCGTGAGCCCAACAAGCAAAAACAGTTGAGTCAAACTCCACCTTCAGCGGCACGCCGCCGCTGGAGTTGCTGGCATGGTTTGCGCTCGGCTCGCTCTCCCGTTTCTTAGCACAGGGACGTTGTGCAGCACAAAGGCAGGGCAAAGTTCCAGGCCCCTCAAACTGATGCGAGCAAGCCGTCTGTCAAGACTAGAACAGCTCTGTTGTCTGCCGCATGCGGTCAGATTTAGATCCATCTCAGGAGACGGCAACGGGATCCTCGCCGACGGCGTCGTGGGTGGCTAGACCCCTGGCTTGAACCCCGTTCATTCGCGTTGTGTTCGAGGGTTGGGACCTGCTACGGGCTGTCGGCTCAGGTCGGGTGAAAGCTGTTGGAGTGAAGTACAAGCTCTGGCAATCCGCAGTGTACATGGCGTAGCGCACCCGACGTCACTGCAATGCCAGCACCGAGCGCCTGACGGGGAAAAGAGTGGCTATGATCTCTGCAACTGAAGCACTTATGGTCCAAGACCTAATCTCAACAAGTTCCAGCCCCCCACTCCCGTTTCTGTGCTGAAGGCTGGCCTGATTGGGAGCCGCCCATGGCAAACCATGGAGCTTCAGAAAGCAGGGGCGCAACCCCAACTGTTTTATGCCGCCGAGGCTGAAACGACTATGACTATGTCTCTTCACAAACCTGCTGCACGAGAGTTGTGTAAGGCCGCCCCCGAAAAAATGCAAAAGCGGGGATAAGAAGTTGATTGCTACTTGAAGGGTTGCACGACCGCTCTCTGCTGGGCAAACGAAAGGCGAGAAGCGGCGAGGTTGATGAGCGAGGGTGCAGCACTGGTGCATGTCGTTTGATTTACGGGCCCCTGTCCCCCTCAGCCCAAATCCAAAATCCTACGCTCCGAACTGTTGTTCGGACATGCTGCAATAGACACTTCAGCATTAGGATGCTCACTACGAGGAACCCTTAAATCTAATAAATGAACGGCCCTCCCCACCTCCCCCCAACGCACCCGATGCAGGCTGCAGGGAGGGTGTCGGCCTCGTGGCGGCCCCGCTCCTGCGGCGCAAAAGACCCACTGGACAGGTGCTATTCTTATATCCATTGCTAGTAGTATGGTACATGTGTTGTGTGTAATTTCGTGCTTCTAGGGCCTAGGGTTTAGGGCTGAGGGCCTCTGGTCCTGAGGTCTTGGAGGGCTTTCAGAGACAATTCAGGCTGAAGGACATAGTGGAAAAACATGGACATCTTGAGTGACGTCTATACTTGGAATCACGATGGCAATGGATGCCACTGCGATGTGAGGCGATCTCTCTTTCTTTTTCTTTCTGTTGGGCCCGGGTGCCAGCCGTGCTGCCTCCTTGCTTTACGCACACCTTCTGAAACGACCAACCTCGCTTGTGCTCTCTCACTCTCTCCCTACCTCGCCCTGTTGGCGGGCTTGTCTAGCGCTGCTTCTGCTGCTCCTGGTCCAACCACCGCCGGCACCTCAACGGCTGCTGTTGTTGCTGCTGCACGGCGCGAACATGGCGAAGCACCAGCAGTCCTCTGCTTCGCTTCTTCGCGAATTGGCGGCAGCCAACGCCTGGACAAAGAGTCTGCAAGACACGCACTCCGACTGTCTCAAGATGTGGTGCTTGACGATCAACAGACAGGCACGGACAACAACGATGCAGTTGCCCAGCAGTTCCAACCTCACTTACTCTGTCAACTAGACATTCTATTGTGCGATTGGTTCGATGACCTCCGTCGTTCGCCGACAGCTGCGCCGCAGAGCCTGCAAGTCTAAGCAAAAAAACATGCTCCCGATGCAAGAGAAAACCGATCCATCCGCACCACGGCTTCAGCTTCCGGGTCTGCCGTCGCGATTCACGGCAACAGCGTTGTGGCTTCTCTGCTGTCAAGCTAGTGTGAGAAGAAGCCACTCGAGCTTAGGGAGGAGGAGAACGGCGGCTGCAGCATGCTGCCGTTCGATATGTTGCAGGATGTTGCAGGGATTTACCGGCCGACCTGCCCCCCCTTAGCGAGTTCACGTCGAAAGCATGCAGCAACATACTGATTCACGGCACAACCTCGTTCTCATCGCGAGCTTGCTCAAGGCATCGTCTGGCCTTGGTAGCATGCCAAGGATTCAAGGTCTCCAAGAGTGGCAGTCAACTGCGATTCTCGGGCCTAGGGGAAATCTGTGCAAACGTGAAGGTCTCCCCTTGCATGTTTCTAAGCGCCTTTGCTGCAATGGCCTCCGCTGCGTACTTTTGCTGGTCTGCCAAGGCCTTTGCCAGCCTTCAGCACGGCCGACTAGGACTTATCCGTTCCCCGCTTTGCGACGCCGAACCTGCCTCTGACTGTCACCCGGTGCGTCGCTGCGGTTTGCCTGCTTCAGTCACAGCTTTGCATGGCATAGCACCAGCAAAACTAACCAATCGGCCATGACTTTTAAGCCGAGGTTTTGCACATTCGATCCAGCACCCATCCAACAGTGAAGCCTCCTGTCTGGCGGCTCTTGGTGGACCAAAGTCGCGGCCTCTCGAAGATAACATGGTCTTTGTGGGACCAGCGAGCTGCCGCAAACGTTGAAGCTCACTGCTTCTCAGAGCATGACTTGAGAGCTGATGCGGACGAGGTGGAACAGCAGTGAGGGCAACTGTGTCGGCTGGACTTGTCTACTCAGATCGTTTTACGAGACCCAGCACCAGGAAGAAGCACGTTCAAGTGAGGAGCACAGAACAAAATCCACAAGTCCAAGGTGCTAGCGCCCTAACAATACTTAAGACGCATACAGGATCAAGAAACGGTTGAAGGGTGGGCAACATTATAGCACTCAGACTCAATTGATAAATACCGCTTGAATTGCACTCTACACAGCTTTGCTCTCGGCATTCCCGTGCATTCACTCTGCAAGAAGCTAGTTGAGGTATCGCTTGTTCGCAGATCCTCATTTAATCAACACCTTAGGGTTTGAGGGTTGCGTGCCAACATCCAAATATCGTGCGATGCTGGCACTGTATTGGTACTTGTAAATGTTTCGTGCGACGAAAACGGTCAAATTAGGATCACAACAGAACGCGGCCAGTCATCAAAAACGAGGCTCATGTACGTAGTACGCATGAGGTGATCCGAATTCTGGCCTCGGGGTGGGAGCGAAGCTTCGCAAGCCTCATCAGAGGCAGCCTGGCGAGTACTCGATCCAGCGTGATAGGTCAAGAGCGCGACTGGTTATGGGGGTGAGGGTGGTGGTGTGATCACTATCATCGTGCCATCACGATTGCTGCTGCAGCTTTTGCAACAAGTCCGTAGCCCTGAAGTGCATCTGAGTGTTCAACGTTTTTCTTGCAGTGTTCTGTCCTCAGGCAAGGAGCTTTTGCCGATGTCCACTCCCACGATCCATCCAGGTACTGCCATCAGCACGGCTTTATGCCTCCGGCTCGCACTTCTTTATCCCTCTGACGCGCAGAAGGGATACCCATATTACTCTGAGTTTTGAGATCCTGGGCTTGCAACATCTTGCAACCCTATGAAAGGGTACTTTTTCAAGTCATTTCAGGTTTTATGGTCTTTGAAGCCAGGGCTCAAACGCACAATTGCTAATTGTGTAAGAGCCGTAGGTCTTAATACTTCGTAGTTCTGTACTGCAAGAAGCTGGGCTTGGCTGGAGCTGAGAGTTGGGGAGATTGACAAACACAGCGTCTTACCAACGTTACAATACAACTTGCCAGGGAGACCGATGTGGAGGAACTTCGAATGGAACCACCGAGGCCACCCGGTGCCTCACACATCGCTTCGTGCAAAAGCCTAGATTAATTTCAAGTTTTGTGGCCACTCCACGCGAGATTCAGAACTTCTGGACCGCTCCCAGTTGTTTTAATGCAACGGTCTGGCCTGATGGACTGTCGGGTACTTCGCGGTCACCTGGCACTCTCTTCCGGGAGCTGGGAGATGCTGGGACTCTCTGCTCGGATGCATAAACTTCACGTCAAGGGCTAAGTCCCTTCCTTCAGCTTCCCTCCGTTACAATGCGTGCTCAACGTCCACGCACTTACACAGTTGGCGGCATTGCCGCATTGAAAACCATCGCTTTGCTTGAGAACTTGTGCTGGAAGGATTTGCATGATCCCTCAAACGAACGTTGATGCCTCAGTGCACTCAGGACTCTATGAGCCAGCAATGTCATGGGTTCTGGAGCTTGAATTTTCTGGGGTGCCGAAACCCAACAGGGGCGAGCCAGGGCGAATCCACCAAGCCCCACACGAATCGGCTACTATGCGAGATGGAATATGATGACTGGATCGATAGAAAGACGTAGTGTGCGGGTTGGCAGAGTATCAACACAATGCAAAGCAACACCCGCAACAGGGAACCCACTTAGCGACACGCCGTGGCATTGTTGGGCAGCGAAGCGCTCGACAGCCTGGCGAATTCGAGTCGATGGCATGCGATGGTGTTGCATTGGTGAATTCAGGGGTCCCTGGCGCTCTTGGATTTGTGCAGTTGTCATGACGACGGAGAAGTTGGTGCAGTGGTGGTGACAAATGTTCGGTCGGCAGTGTCTTGAGAAGAAAGCTTCTAGCACTCTAATGTGCGAGTGGCATCATCATACTTCGGAAGTTCTGGCTGAGTCACAAGCTGAAAAAATGCTGATCGGCCGGTGTGACTTCGGGTCCCTCACTGACACCGAAACTCTTCACGGCTCGTGTTTGCATCCCAGACGTAGCACTGCCAGGCACTGGCACATCAAATTAGAGGAATACAGCTACCGAACCATTGCAGATCTCAGGGCGGAGCCCTGGGCTCAATGTGCTGGCAGATGATCCTGCCACTGCTCACTCTGATGCACCCCAGTCGCTCCAAAACTCTTCGGATTAAGGAATTACTATGTAATACTGCTAGCAAAGGATTCGCAGCTGTTCCTACAGTGAGAAGGTGGCCGGATTCATCGCCTTGCAATGGCTACCCAAGCTCATCTAAGTCCTTGAGAATGCTTCTGCTGCGGAGATGATAGACCAGGTACGACCTTGACATGTCAAAATTTCAACACATGGCGTCACATCAGGAACAGTTCACCTGCTGCGAACCACGATGAGGCGATGCGTGAGTGAAGGGGAGCGGTGTCGACTGGAACTTTGCTTTCGTATGCTGCTGTCTACAACAGTAAGAAATCGAGCAGCTACAATAAAGACTTGGGTAATGAAAACTGAGACCCACCCGAAAAACCGACAATCCTAAACCCCGAAGCCCTTGAAGAGATTCCCAACCGAAAAGCACGGAGCAATCCGAGTGCGCAGCGACGGGAGGCACTGCAAAACTGCTGGCCGTCTCGGTCGACTCCTGACACAGCTCCGGGGTTCAGCTGGCTTTGGAGTGAGGTGTGCATGCTGCAAGGCTTTAAGCTTCATCAGGTTTGCCGACATAAAGCTCAACCTCCGTTGGTATACATGTGAGAAGCATGCCCGAAGTTTTAGATGTAGCAAAGAAAGGTGGCTTTTCCTCATTCGCAGCAGCTTCCAACAGAATCCGATCGATTCCCTCATGGCAGCAATGCCAGTCGGTCCTTTTCTTCGTCTTCATCGCCTGATAGCGCTGTTCTACGTGGTTGGGTTTTCTGCAAGGTGTCGACTTCAAAAATTGGTTGTCGCACAAGCCTTGAGTGCTGGAACCTGGAAGAGCTGGCTGCCAAAAACCCCAACTCCCAACAAGCATCTGGTATCATCTGCCAAAGAAAACACCTGGCAACAGCCATCTTAAAGCGCCATGCAGACACGCAGGAAAACAACGGTTGTGGGCTGCTGGACGAAATTTAGCAGCTCGGCAGTCTCAAATTTCTCCCCAATGTGACTGGAGGCACGTATGACGGCCTTCTCACGGGTCAGCCGTGCTCCGACTAGACAAATTGCAAGCGAGGCACTGTCACAAAGCCCGTCGGGATCCGCCCTGGCCAAAAGGCACACATTGAGTAGCACCAAGGCCAAGCAAACATCAAACGCATGCAGTGCAAACGTGTGCAAACTCAGCCCACGGTCGCTCCTGAAGACTTCTAACCAGCTCACAGCTTGTCCGGCATCTGTGGATGTGGTTCGCTGAATGGCCACGCCGACCTGACACACTCCCCGAATCGTAGGCAATCAATCTGAAGATCCGCCACCCCGTGTTGTGGTGCACGAGCTTCGCTAGACTGACTGCGGTGGTGTCTTGCTATCCTTTGCATGCGGTCCCGTTTTCGGTTCAGCTAGTGCCTGCTTGGGCGCCATTCGACGAATCACATTGAGCTTTTGAAATCCCGTCTGCCAGCGGCCCATCTCGACAAGCGCAGGTGCTGAAAGGACCGCTGCTGGCGTCGCCCCGCCTCCGGCCAGTAGAGCTCGCGCACAATGGCCTCAGCATGCCACAAATCGTTGAAGCGAACAAGATCCAAGGGCCGCTGCTGCCAACAAACTGCAAGGCGTCTGAACGCTGGCGAGGCACTCCAGCTTGTTGCTCGAGGCTGAAGCCTCTGACGTAGCAGAACCGGGAACTCTTTCTTTGCAGCTCGGCGGCATTGACTGCATGTGGGCAGGCCGAATGTGAAGCGAGCCAAAGACTTGCAAGCTTGACCCGCTGCTGCTAAGGAGCCCAGGTTGGGCACCATGTCTCGAAGCAGCCAAGCCCTCGGAGATCGCGACAGCACCAGCAGCATGGAGCCCTGTCAGCTGATAAAAAATATCCAATCTTGAATCACTGATAGAAGAAAGATGCTTGATGACGGGTCTTTAGCGGGCAACAGCGCATTCTTGCGGACTCCCAGCCTGTGCAGAGCCCTTGCCCGGGTGGCTCCGAGTGCACTGGTGCTGTGAGTGCGGCGGGGCCCCCACGGAAAGGCAAAACCATCCTTCGCAGGGAACATGCAATGACAGAATGTGTCAGGTATGAAAGGAAGCCGGCCTCCTGCGCCATCCGTCCGCCCGACAGAGGCGAGGACAAGGTGCTCGGTTGCTCTTGGAAGCTCCTCCAATGGCACCTCAGACATCAAACAGTTCTCAGGCCCCCCCGTGCCCTTCACCAGGCCTCCAAGACCAAGCCTGCACGGGCCTGTGCAGCAGTGCATCACTGGCCAAGTTTAGACTGTTCGAGCTGAAAGGAAAAAAAGAAAGCGGCGAGCACCTGGCCCGTGGCAGATAGGACCGGGCCAGTGTTGCCACGAGAGCGCCAGGCGCAGTCGCTGGGGGAAAGGAGCTCGAGATCGCTGCCTGCAGTATCGACGGATCGCTCAAACCCGGAAAGGGAACTCGAAGACACCTGTACCGACAGAAAGAACCCCCAAATCTGATACAACTACTCTTCATGGCATCGGTCACACTTACTAGTGCCACCCCTTTCTGGGGTCGTCTGGGCCCTGAAACTGGAACCTGATAATCGAACAGCAGAGGGTGTGAGCCTCCGCGATTTTCCGATTCGACACATGCTGACACTTCTTAAACAAAAACTCTATAAATTCCTTCTGGCCGTTTGAGCTACAGTGATCCGGCAGGGCGATTCGGGCATTCTGTTCCGTGCTTACAGATAGTGTTGGCCGATGTAGCATTGCGGGACCAACAAGATCATCATCACCAGCACAGGCACTATCGACACACCCACTGCTTTTTTTTCAGCACAGGCCAAACAGTACTGTTGATAGCAAAGCCCTGTCCTCAGCTCTCACAAAGCCCCTATACTCAAATCAGGCCGAATCAGTCCTATGTCGTTGTCGCAGTGCAGCCAGTGCTGCTTATACTGGTTTCTCGAAATCTTCGACGAAGCTGGCTACCGTTCGAACCAAATTGAGCCGCCGGGCCGAAAAGGCCACATCGGAGATCGAGCGACGAGAAGCCCTGGTGTCAGGAAGGGCGATGCAAATATCTGGGCGCATACACAGTTCCCAGTGTGCCTTCCCGACATCCCCCTGTCAACTCCGAAGACTCCCTTGCGCCACCGTCAATCCAACACAAAGAATACTCTTCTGTGCATTTAATTGCCGCTGTGCGCAACATGGGTGGCACAAATGCAATTCCTTTGCAAAGCTTGAAAAGGCTTGAGTCGGCTTTCAAGCGGCGCCTCCGCACGCAAACAGCAGCGCAGCTTCGCTGACGGCGGTAAAGTTGCCACGACTTCGGAGCCATTGGACATGGGCAAAACTAGCACATCGTAGTTAGGAGTTACAACCTGGCGAGCACGCAGCTCGAAACTCGCGTGAATGCCAATATCTTTGTCCTCCGACTTTGGGAGCTGGCTGGCTTCTTATTTGCCAAAGCACTTCTGCACGAGCCAGCTGGTGCAATTCAGCCAAACACACTGACCAAGCTTCAGGAAACCGGAATCGCAGGTGGTCTGTCTTGACATACGCGTCTGGCGGGGATTCTGCACTCCATGCCATCTTTCGCACGCACGGACTGGCTTCAGTCGAGACGGGCAACACCGCACCAGAAGGGTGTTGGACTGCGATGCCGTGGTTTCTAGCAACCGCTCAACGGTCAACAAGCCCCGAGTCTGAAGTAAGTTGTACGGGCCTCGAGTTATCCTCTGGGCCGCACAAACTTATGGAAAATTGAGGCTGCTGCGCCACTGCGTCACTACTCGACGGGCCACAGCTCAGGATCGTCATCTGGAAGCCCTCCGACCTGAATTGCAAGCTACTCTGTTGGTGCTGGAATCATACACGGATTGCACAATGCAGCGCAGTGAAACCCTAAAGACACTTCCTGGGGTCGATCACTTGGTCTTCTACCATGACCCGAAATCTTCAGCTCACGAGATGACCAGCATCGGAGTTTGTGTCACGCATGTGGGTGGTTGTCAAAATTAGGGTCCCGTTTTGGGTCCTTAATATAATACAGCACCTAATATTTCGGGTACCCAAAAGGGGACCCTAATTTTGATAACCAACCATGTGCATCATGAGCGGAACTTTCTCAAACTGCACGCTCTTCCTCCAGTGGAGGTTCAGGGTATTTCTAGAGCGAACTGAGGTACATCACAGGCACTCTGCTAATACATGCATGTTCTGTCATCCTTGCCACGCCCGAAACAAACCCACAGAAATGGTAAACAAGGGTTAGACAAGATATGGCCGCACACAGAGTGTGCATGAAAGTTCCATCGTCGATGTCGCGTGCTTCCACGGACTGCGGTCATGAAGTAAACAAGACTGCCCGCGAACCAGCCGAACGCAAGCATGCGCACTTAGGCCAGGCCAATGCAACATCAACCACGCTTGCTCCAGGTTCGAGCAAGTCCCTGTTTCGGCTTGGCAGTGACCAACGGCTCAGGGTAATTCTAGAGCGAACTGAGGCACATCACCAGCACTCAGCTAATACATGCATGTTTTGTCATCCTTTGCCAGTATGTCACATCGGGAACGAAGCCGTGAAGAAAAAATGTTCAAGGCATGCCGAGACACAGTTGGCAGTGCACAGTGTGTGCACGACAAGTGAGGTTTCATCGTAGAAGGACTGCGGGTCAAGAAGCAAAGAAGCCTTGACAAATATCTTCAGCTCACAGCGAGCCAACTGAACCGAAGCATCCGCACTTCCAAAACAACAGCAGCACGGCCAATGCAACATTAACCACGCTTGCTCCAGGTTCGAGCAAGTCCCTGTTTCGGCTTGGCAGTGGCTAATGGCTCAGGGTAATTCTAGAGCGAACTGAGGCACATCACCAGCACTCAGCTAATACATGCATGTTCTGTCATCCTTAGCCAGTATGTCACACCGGGAACGAAGCCGTGAAGAAAAAATGTTCAAGGCATGCCGAGACACAGTTGGCAGTGCACAGTGTGTGCACGACAAGTGAGGTTTCATCGTAGAAGGACTGCCGGGTCAAGAAGCAAAGAAGCCTTGACAAATATCTTCAGCTCACAGCGCGCCAACTGAACCGAAGCATCCGCACTTCCAAAGCAACAGCAGCACGGCCAATGCAACATTAACCACGCTTGCTGCAGGTTCGAGCAAGTCCCTGTTTCGGCTTGGCAGTGACCAATGGCTCAGGGTAATTCTAGAGCG